CATCACCCTGGCCATTAAGCTCCTAGTGTGCTGTGGGGCAGTTTAGGAACGTAACAACAAGTGCCATCTGAAGCAGCACTCCCATGCTGCTCAGGGACAGCATTTGGAGGCAGGGGGATGCAGTGGTCTCTGCAACCCTTTTTTTATTTCACAGTATAAATCTAATATATGCTAAGGAAGATTACAAAGGAACCAAGGAAGAAATTATGAATTCTACTGTCGTTCTCACCAAATAATTTGGAATTTTTAAACCTTTGAAGTAGCAGTGTTATCATTTTATAAATTATTAAATTAAAATAAGCTTAAAAAGTTTTGGGTTTCTTAGGGACATAGAAATAAATTATGCTAACAACAATACAATATTTACTGAAAAGTTGTGTCTCTAACATGCTCATTCATCTCTTTTTCTGTCAGAACATAAGAAATAAAGCATATGTTTCCAGGTAATGCATTTTATCCCTTTGGCAACTGCTTCTGTATCTTCTCTTTATCTCAGTGAAATTTACTTTTAAACAGAACTATTTAATTTAAAAAATGCTAATACTTTCGAAGTGTGATAAAAGATAAGAACTACTCAGAATAAGCTTGAAAAACATGGATGCTGTTGATTTCTTTTGTTTAAAAAAAGTAATTTCTGAACTACTCCAGGCACAAAGCAATTCTGTGCCACTCAGAAAAAGAAGAAATTAGGGAACTGACTAGTAATCTCGTGCTGGAACAAGAGAGAGAAACTCAGATTACTGGTATTGAAAGCTTGATCACAAAACAGGTTGCAGCTAAAACGTGGTCTTAAAACATAAATTTTTTTCTCCAGTAGCAGCTAAGAAAAGGGGGAGATTCTTCATAAGAAATCCAATTTCCTCTTCAAATGAATACATATTAGAAAACCTTACAATGCTTCTAAAAGCTTATTCATTACAACAAAAAAAAAGTCTCATTTTTAATGTGTACCTAAAGATTTACCCAGAATAGCCACCATAACTGCTATCTTTAGACAATGATCAAGGAAAAAATCAGGGGCTGCAGAAAAGGTATTATTTAATGAAAGACATACCCACTTTTCTCAAAGCACAAGAGACCTTGGCACTGACAATTCTTGTTTCAAATGCCCAATCCTAACACCTCATTTCAGAATGCTACAGTATTGCAGACAAGCCCACAGCTACATTTGATTTACTGCCTGATTATCTTCTGTTTCCTTTTAAAGATAAAGAATGTGTTTAAAGCTGACTATGAGAATGTGATCTCTTCTTGGAAGGTTCTCTTCCTTCTCTGAACAATGTGAGACTCTTTCAAAGTTATTTTTACAGCATAATCATTTCCTATTTTTCTCTTTGCATTAGTACTTTCACTTCCATTTTTTTTTTTTAAAGCATCATCCTAATGCAAACACATCACTTAATTATTGGAGTTTAAAAATTAAGTAGGTCAAAAGCCTCAGTCTTGTCCTCAGAGAAACAGCACAAAATACTGTCTCCACAAAATAGCTTAAAAGTAGCACAGGAAAAGGAAGGTAGAGGTGCCGTGGGTGAGGAGGCTGGAATATGGCATAGTACTTAATCACAGATTTTGGTAACAATGTTGTCTCATTTTACTGGCCAAGTCACCAAGTTCTTGCTTTTGAGCGAAAACAAGTGACACTGATTTTCTAAGTAAAGCAGCTGCAAGATTAACTGAAGACACAGCAGGAAACATGCACCATATTATAACAGAATCCAGTCTCAGTTGCTCAACTGCACATCTTCCAGAGAGAACATATCCAATTTCTGTACCTGACCAGGCGTCCATTGGCAGCACACAGGATTTTCCTCCCAAAAATCTGGGAACAGAATCACGGTACCTTACCTCTCAACCTTCCCTAACTTCAGTTAACACATCACATTAGATTAGCAGATCTACTCTATGAATTTGTTTTCTTCCCAAGTTTGCATCTCCAGTGGTAGCTATCTCATGCTTTGAGACATAAAATGACCAATATATTGGTATGAAAATTAATTTTGTTTGCAAGACTCCAAAAGTGGTGAGGTAGATCTGTGTGCTGATGGGGCCTGCATTTTCAGTGTCATACTTCAGCAGATACTACCAGAATTGGTAGATTATAATTGCAGTAATATAGTCTCAAAACAATAATAACAACAACAACAACAACATAATAATATCATCCTTTCAATGTGAGTACTGGGAAAAAAGAACATTATCAAAAAGTGCTCAATCAGTGAACGTTTTTGAAACTAGGTTTCAGTAGCCATAAAATTAGCTGTTTAAGCATCTAGATAAGAGCACTACCTCTGAAATGACATTGAACTTAATTTCAGTCCAAGCAAGCATGAAAATGTGAGCCTTAAAGGACAACAGAATACTAGACAATATTTAGCTTACAATAAAACAAACACCACCACTTTCCCCAAAAGCCAAAACAAAATACACAATCCAAATGAAACTTTTAGATATTACATAACTCAATTTTTGGAAAGCATATGGTTCTCCCATGAAACCACAAAAATCATTCCAAATGTGCAGGGTAGATTACAATGCAGAACAGGAGGTCCAACGACACAAGGACTGGGTAAAAATTCTGAAGCCTAAGAAAAACAGTGAATAATGCAGGGCTCAGGATGAAACTGTGAAAACTGACAGCAAATAAAAGAATCCCAGGATAGAGGACAAGTAGCAGTCTATCTATTTATGTGGTGCCACAGGAACTGTTGTGAGGCCTTGTTTTATTTGACAGCTTCATTAATTCCCGAGAAGCTACAATGTGGACAACTTTGAGGGCACTGAGATACCTCGAAGTAAATTAGTGAGACTAAAATGCAGTCAAAAAACAGTAAAATCAAATTGACTACAAGAGAAAGCAAACTACTGCAATACAAAAGACCGAGAAATATTCTGGAATAGATTCTGGAATATATTACCCCCATGGCATCATATTTGTAAAGGATCTAAGGATAACAAGCAAGCAGAAACTACAAATAGATTTGTAACAGAGTACCAACAAAGAGACTAATTTAGATTTGACTTGCATATGTAAGCACTGTAACCTGGAGCAGGAAGGTAACAGTTTCTCTTCCTTCAAGCTTCTTGGTGGACCAAACATTAATACTCCCAAGTATTTAATTCTGCCCTACGAATGGAGGTCATATGGATGCCTGGACATAAAACATCCACAATTCTTCATCCACACTCTTTACAACCATATCTGGAATTCACCAATGAGTTCTAGGCATATTCCAAGAAAGAACTATGCAAATTGGATGGAATTCACATAAAAATAACAGAAATTCTTTGTGAGATAGAAAGAATAAAAAATAAATGCTACAAACCTACACAAGTGTTAACTTACTTGCTTAAGCTAAGCAAAGAAGAAGTTCAAAATGTTGGGTTTTTTTTAAGTCATGTTGATCTGAAAATTATTTCACAGGAACAAACACCAAGAAGAAAAATAATTATCTGAGGTGATAAAAGGTTATATATATATATATATATATACACACACACACATAACTAGGAACATAATTTAGACATTAGAGAAAACCTATAGTGAGTTCTAAATTGTCCTAATAGAAAAAAACATAGCAGGTATCTGAAACTGCAGTATAACGTATACATACATATACGATAGGGATCAATACCAACAGAGATGGACAAAATATTTAATGGAGCTCTGCCATTTCTAAGCTAATCTAAAACATTTTAAGTTTACTCTTATAGCAACACTCCTCTTTACTTTTGGATAACAGATGGCTGTTTGTGATCTACATATTGCACTGAGGCTTCTTTCACTTTGTCTGATGTATGAATGAGGAATGCCTCCCATAAGTTGGACTACATGGCAGAAAAAAATATAGCATCTAAAATTAAATGGCTTTCACTACTTACCATCCAGCCCCATTTCCGTGATTCATTCACAGAAACACATTTCCCATTTTAAACCAACAAAAATTCAAATAATAAGCACATACTCATGTATATTTTGCTACACAAGTTATAGAAGACTGATAGGGCTTTTGGCAGTTATAGTACTTGAAAATTTTCCATTATGACATCTTTCTAATTACTTATTATTTGAATCATTTGGACTAACTCTCTTCACACCAGACGTATTTCCCAATGGAGAGTTTCAAGTAAATGCTTCAGCTATTTATCAGAACTAGAATATGAAAAATTATGTTTTACTTGCCTGTTGAAAAACAATTCTTAAAACCATGTACCTGAGCTGTACTGTATGGAATAGACATTTCAGAGTTTGGTAGGGACTGGCAGCTCTCTTGTTAAAATAAACCAATTACTTTAGTTTTTTTTAAAAAAGCATTCAAATGCTCAGCTTCTTTTCCTTGTATATTCCACTACTTGCCAGTAACACTGTTGAACATACCTATCCCACAAACAGTATTAATGCTGAAATGCTATATGTCATTACACACTGTTTTTTCTGTTAAATCCATACCCAACTTTTATAGTCATTAATCTAAAGCACTAGACAGCAGGTTTTTTAATTATGATGATTCAGCAATGGCACTCAAAAAAACTACTTCAGCACTACTCCTCAATTATCTAAAACTTAACCAATTCATCTTAATCAAATTTCATCTTCGAAATTCTCATTGTTATACATACAATCCCAAAGCACCACTTATTACTATACTGCTAACTGCTCCCCAACAATGTGTGTGTTCTTACACTAAACTGAATTCCTTATATAAGTATTTTACCCCTGACAATAGGCCATTTTCCAAGCATGGAAGGTAACCTCAATCCCTTCTTGATATGTAGAATTCTGTCAGCAAAGAGCAAATCTGGAATCTCATCTTTACAATTAAGTGCTTACTGTCCATTTTCTTACATGTTACATATGTTGATTCTCAATTAAATATACTTTCTCGAATTTTTTTTTTAAAATGGCATAGTTCTACAATGTTATACATTTAATTATTTATTAATTTTTACATTTAAAATTATACAGTTTTCTTGAATACTTATGTGTTTTCCTGTATACGCACTCAGTGGCAGCTCTTCTGATACAAGGCAACAGCAAGATCTGAAAACATTGGGGAAAAAAAAATCATTATTTAAAAATAAAAAACCCAATTAAAAAAAAATGGAGTAACTTTCAATCAAAGCTTCTGTTTGAAATATAAGTTGCTAAACACAAATAGAACCCAGAAAACAAAAATGGTCAAAGGTGATTTACATTTTCATATAAACATTATGTATGTGAATTTGTATACATAACTCATTTACAGATATGAACATACAAGAGGTCACAATGCATGTTGTAAAAGAGTTGTATTTTGCACTACAGTCAAGATTTTCTGAAGCAGAAACCCATGCAATATCTATGGTATACAATGTGTTTTGTACCACGATGATGAAAACTTATTTATCCTAATGGCTAAACTGTCTGCATCGACTAGAGGAACCCACTATTGAAATGTTCAGGGATCTACATGCAATCCTTCTAGAATTTTGATAATCAGGTGCAGTGAGATGCGATTACCAGCAAACATGACAAAACCCCTTTCATAATCTTATCAATCTCCATATTAAAACTTGCTGAATGCTCTGCCCTGCTATTTTCACTGAGAGAATAAATTGGCTAGAAACCTTCTTTAATGGTAAGTTAATGTCCACTTTATATCTCATCACTCTACACTGACACTGTTCTTAGGCTTAGATATTCTTTATTCTTCCTTAACTCCAAAGTTATGGATCTTGTATAAAATGCTGTTCTCCTTCAAGCTTAAGGTTACTAGTAACTTTTATTTATATGCTGAGTAGGACTGCACTGAAGATATTAAATGAGAAGACTTGTCCTGTAGCCAGCTTCCAGTTTTATAGTCCTTCTTTCAACACAATCCACCATAATTTCCCATCAGCAATTTTCTTAATGTTATGCATCCTCCTTCATTTCTCATATGCTATTATACTGAATAATTTTATAAAGTAAAGATTAAATTTGATTGTGGTGGTGCTAGGATGATGGTTGGACTAGATGATCTTGAAGGTCTCTTCCAACCTTGACGATTCAGTGATTCTGTGAAATTGACTTGATTTCCTTTGTCAATAAATTATTTTATTAAAAAAATTACATAGTTATCTGAACAAATCTAATGTTACTATACCAAAGACATGTTTCTTTTTTTACTTCTATGCCTTTGAACACCCTGTGTTACAATTTGCTTCATATGTCCCATACAATGCATGTAACACTTCCAGGGGTTCTCCTTCAAAGACATCTGTTACTTTCCAATCGCATGGCACCATTCTTGCCCTGATAGGTTTATTAAGAGTCTCAGCTAAAAGACTGCTTTGATACTTCTCATATTTTCATAATTGAGAACTATGTTGGTTTTGCCATCAAGTTTCTAGTGACAAGACACTGTTGGTGTAATGCTGTTGATTAAATGTGTGACTGCCCTGGTTCTGACAGAACCTGAGTGCACTACACTTCAGAGCCTATTGCCTAGCCCATATCTATTACTTGAGAATTAAAATAAATAAATATACCTCATTAATTATGACTTTAAGCACTTTTGCGGACTAAGACGATGACTTCTTGCACTGAGTCACATCTGAGAAACATCTAACATGAGACTATGGATTGTCATACGTGGCAAACTACGTACAGGTCCGGCAGTCCAAAACCACACAGCATAGTACCAAATATTTCAGTCTGAAGGTTTAGACTTTTTCCATTCACTTAGTCTGCGGGCATATTGGGAAATAAACTTCCTATGTAATGAACACAATCTGACTGTTTAGGTTAGGATACCAACTGGATAGCCCACATATTACTCCTGGTCTGTGTGCCCAGGTTTTCTCCCTGCAGATACCGTGTTTCTGTCATCTGAAAATTCAACACCTGAAAATATGTGTCACACTCAGCCCTCATTCTGAAATATAGTTTGGATAAACCCAGGGCATACTCATACTGAGAGAGCACTCCAAGATTTCAGATCATAGACCCCAGAAATACCAAACATCCTTGAAATCAGTAAAAACTGAAACACGGATACTTTAGTTGGTTTTGAAGGTAAGATGTACTTTTAGAAATTTTACCTTTGTGTCATAGTCTAAACTTTTATCATCAAATTCTGTTGCACTCTGCTACTATAATTAGATATTTGAAAAATGTAGCTCTTCCCTTGGCCCCTATCATCTTTAGTCACCAGATGATCCTGTGTCTGCTCATATTTGCATTTATAATTTTTCTGTGAACTGTGATATCATTTTGTGATCATTTTTTTAAAGTATCTACACAGTAAGCATTAAGGAAAAACAGAAATGGTCATGCCTTTTGTTTAAGGAAAAAAAAGGCAAACCTATATTGATTTTACTCTATAGAGAAATTCTAACTTAAAAGGCAGTCATCAGTTATGGTTATAACTAATACTATTAATACACAAATTTTGATTGTACAGCTGTTTAGCTGTGCATGATTAAAACCAGTTATATATTCAAGCTTGATTATTTTCATGCAAATACATGGCTGGCTAATGGGGAGAAAAGCTGCTGCTTAGCAACTGCATGAACAGAGAAAGGGGTGACTTGCTTTATAACAGAAAACTGGATGACACCTCAGAGAGAGAACATACAGTGTTTGGAGGTACCAGGGAAAATCGGTGGTAGTGCTCTCTAACCAGCATGTTTCCTTTTGCAATTATTGATATTGTAGGACAGCAGAATTTTCAGGTAATGAGAGTGTAAACTACAAGAAAATTTATATATCATACATGTATATGCACATTTGCATGAACAACACATAAAACAACTGCTAAAGACAAACACTGACACACAGTTTGATATGCAGGAAATCCAGAAACAAGCTTTGTGTGTCTCATCTACTGTAAGGGTTAAACTGATTTGCAGACTTCAGCTACCACAAGCCAAGACTTCTGGAAGAAGTGTTCTCCTTTTATTCCTGCTGATCCAACTCAGCCCCTGCACTGCCTCCTTCTCTGTGCAAGCACAGGCTTTCACACCCCTACATAATGAGGCAGATTGAGGAGGACCTGATCTAAGTTAAAACTAACCCACAGTTTTTGTGGGATCACTTTTACCTGGCTCAGTTTCCAAATCGAGTTTCTTGTGCAGATATTCAAATGCTTGCACTGACATGAGGAGGAAGCAGGGGACCTCCCGCGATGGTGCTGACTCAAACCTTTTCTGAAAATACAGTCTTACGGTGGTGCGACCCTGCAGACTAATTTATTGACTTGACTGCAAGATGACTATGAAAGCAGAAGTGAGCTGTGAGAAATGAAAGGAAACCAAAAAGGCACACAGCTCAGAAAGCATGTGAGTTCCACAAAAATGTCTGCATGGCTATAAGACTACCACTTGGATTAAGCTATTTACATCAAAAAGGAAAGTCACTTCTTTTTTTTTCTGAGAGTAACATTCAATACTTTCAGAAATCAATTCAGTACCTCATATGAACAAGAAACTGGCTCTAGGTTAGGTAGGAACTGTTCTCATCTCAGTTCTGCTGCCTTCTGTTTGCATAAGCTCTTCCTAATTCAAAGCATGGTTCGTTCTGATTTAATAAACAATATAAAAATTTTTGTAATTAAATAGAAGACTCTGAATGATGTGCTTTAGTGAAACTTGCTTTATGCTCCTAAAAAGTTAGTTATTTAATCTTTCTACATTATTCTGTTGTGGGCAATTGCTTTCTCTTCAGCAGGACTACCAGATATGAACTTGTGCCTACACCTCACACACCAGTCATTTAGGAGAAGCCAGAATCCACCAGGAGCTTAAATGTCTTTGAACACCAACCTAGCTGAGGGGCTGATACACATAATGTTCTGCTGCCTATGTGTATGACAACAGACAGTAGTGTACTGGTATCCCCTAGCACATAAGTGGACTGCTGATGTACCTTCAGCTACGCAGGAAGAGGCACCAGAGCAGAAGTGCCACTGTTCAAAGACATTAAGCCCTCAGTGAAACACACAGTGGTGGGAAGACACAATGCTCAGGAAGTCAAGATGATCATATGAATAGAAAGAAAACAGAGTATAGAACGCAGTAACACAAGAACTGTTACTGTCCCTACCAAGTCCTATGGAAAATTAGGGAAATGTATTAGTGAAGCAGCAGTACAAAATGTATTCAAATAACAATAGTTGGAGATGCTGTTTGTTAACAAGCTTCACCAGTAAGCTTCTAGTGATTTATTAGCTTTTGTGAAATCTAAGTATTCATAAGGGTATTCTTGCAGTTCCAAAGGTTTTCTAAATATTAGCTTTGCAAATGCAAACAACTGTCAAAAATTAAAGTTGCAACTCAGCTATTCTTTAGATGCAATGAAAATAGTTTGGATTTCAACCCTATTTCAACCAGTGACTTCTGTGACGCAAGATTTCTTGATGACTAGGTAGTTGGATCTTTTTTTCTATTAGCATGAGTTTAAGGATGAAAACAGATGTGAGCTAGAGAAAATAAACAGCTTACAAAGAAAAAGTAGGAAACCAGTTACCCTTGAGTAGACAGGCAAGCTTCCTGTTCATTACAATGAAAAAATGAAGGGTAGCAACTGGCTGACCTGTCTTTTGTTCAAATCTAAACCCAAAACATATGTAACCAAAATGTGAAACATGTGTTCTACATATTGGACTCGTGTCAGGTTTTATATATCTGCACATTTGCCTCGCATCATCCACTCCTGCACGCACATGTAACAGCACCATTCTGAGGGCGCGTGAGAGCATTTGGCCGTTTAGCAGGCTCATCTTCCACCCTGCCAACTCTTTGGATATTTGCTGTGGATTGATTCCCCCCTCCCTCTCCCCCGAAACCTCAGCTCTGAAACAAAGAGACTGCAACAGGAATCTTAAACCTAAACTCAGGGTTTTTGACTCCCTCAACCTAAACTCGAGGTTTTGGCCATCATTCTAAACAAAAACACGCACGAGAGAGCAGCAAAACAAGCTCTCGTAAGAACTACGGAGGACGCTGAAGGCTCTGCGGCTGCCGCGGGCCCAACCCGCCCGCAGGAGCGGGAGGGCCGCGGCCCCGCCCACCCTCCCCGCTCCGCCGCAGCGCGCCCGGCCCGGCCCCGCCCCCTCCCGCGCGCTCGGCCCCGCCACCAATCGCCACCGCCCCTCCATGGCTCCGGCCCCGCCCCCGCGCGCGGGGACCGCCACAGCCCGAGGGGGTGCGGGCGGCTGCGGGAGCGCGGCTGCTTCGCTCCAACCCCGACCCCTCCGCGGTCCCGGAAGGTGACCGCGTTTCTCTCCTCACCCCCATCTGTTAGGTTGATTTTTATGTGTGTGTGTGTGTGTGGTTGGCTCCTGCGGCGTGCGGAGACTCACCTCCCCGCCATCCAAAATGGCCGCCGACCCAGCTTAACCCCGTCGTGTCCCGGCAGCGCTGCCTCCCCCGCCCCAACGCGCCATCCGCGGCTCGGGATTCCGCAGCCTCGCCCCCAGCCCGCGCGGCCGATCGCCGAATCACCGAGGCCCGCCCTCCCTCCCTATTCTGCCACGGGGAAAAGGAGGAGGCAGCACTGGAAAGATTTTTCCCCCCTGCTCCCACGCACGCTCGCGCCCCGCCTCCCGAGCCCACTCGAAAGACGGGGGGATGGGGCGGGCGTGTGTTTGTATCGCGGAGTGAGTAACACCTCCCTCGCTCGTTGCGCCACCCCCCACAACACACGGCCCGTCCACCCCGCCCCCCATTGAGTTCCCGCAATGGTTGCGTCCGTGACGACACCATCATGGCAACAGCAGCTGCCGCCCGGGGCCGGGCGCCGCCGCCGCCGGGCCGTCCGGCAGGGACGCGCGCGCACTGCCCCTGAGGCGCGCGCGGCCGCACGCCTTGTAGGAGCGCGCGCGGGTCGCGCCGCCGCGCACGCGCCCGGAGCCGCGGCGGCGGCGGCACCACCAAGCGGCGGGGGAGGGGCGTGGGGATAGCAGAGGCACGCGCAGAGAAGGCGCGTGCTGGGTTGTGCGCGCTCCCGCGGGGCGTGCGCGCGCTCCGGCAGGCGGCCGGGCGGGCGAGGAGCGGCAGGCGCGGGGGGGCTGCGCGCGCGCGCGCGCTCGCTGCGGCGGCGGCGGGCGGGGGAGCCGTGCGGGCTCCGCGCTCGCTCCGCGCTCGCTCGCTCGGTGCTGTGGCGGTGCCTCGGCGGCGGCGAACAAACATGTTCTCAGTGCGGATCGTGACTGCCGACTACTACATGGGCAGCCCGCTGCCCGGCCTGGACCCCTGCCAGTCCAGCTTCCGAGAGGCCCCGGCCAGGCGGGTGCCCGTCGTGAGAGTCTTCGGCGCCACCCCTGCAGGTAAGGGGTGACCCCCCCCGCCGCCGCCACCGACGGGCGGGGACGTCCCCCCGCTGCAGCGCCGCGGGTCGTGCCGGCGCCGGCCCCGCCGCCGCCCACCCCGCGGCGGAGGCAGCGGCGGCTCCCGCTCTTTGTGGCTGGGTCGCGCCCCCACCTCCGCGCCCGCCGCCGCTGCGGCGTCTCACCTGCCGGAGGGAGCGGGGAGCAGAGGGGACCTTCCCCGGGTGTCCCCGCGGGGGACCTGCCCGGGTGTCGTGCCGCGCCCGCCCGGTGGCGGCGGGGGCTGCGGGTCCGCCGGGGCTTTGTGCGGGGCTGCCCCGGGAGAGCGGAGCAGCTGTGCAAACACCGGGGCGGTCGGTGCCGCCCTCGTCCCCGGGGCCCGCACGCCGCTCTCCTGCCCTGCCCGGGAGGTGTTACCGCGGCAGGGCGAGCGGGCGAGGGGGAACCGCTGAGCGCGGCCACAAGTGCGACTTGTGCGGCACTTGGGAAGTGGAGCTCGTGTGGCGGCGCGGATCGCGCACGGCCGGGGGCACCGGTGCTGCACTGCAGGAAGGGGCGTCCTGAGCGCTGGCCACATGTTGCCCCCCGGGACTTCCCAGTGTCACATGCCGCTTCTTCGCTGCCTCTTCTCCGTGGCCTTGTGGGTCGTCCCACGTCTCGAATGTGTTCCTGACCAATACAAATACGTTTTCAGAAAAAAATCCCAACGTTTAATACTTAAACAAATTAATTTGATATGTGCTGTAGCTTACCCATACGTTAAATATTTCGTGGGGAAAAAAAAACCCCAACATGTTCTTTGAGATATTAGGCATATTAAGCATCGTTGCTTGTGATCCTTTTACACTTAATGTTGTGTAATACTGACCTTGGGAATTCAGGAATTTCTGTATATTATGTTGTATGCTGAAAATTGTACATTAATGTATACATTAAATGTTAGGCAAGACAAAAAGCACGTAATAAAAAAGGCACAGCAGAGGTGTCTCACTTCACTCAGTTATTATAGTAAAGCAGACTTTTTTGTTGTATTTCTTGATGGCTTGTTTTGATTTTTTTTTTATTTATTCATAATTACCTCTCTGTTCTCTGTTTAGGCACAGAGGAATGTGAGACATTAAAGCTGTTGTGCTCTGATGCAACTACAGCTCCAAATTATTAAGTGGATGAGTGGGGTTAATAGATACAGTATTGAAATAGTGGGACCCATGTTATTGTAGGTCTAATTCTGCATACAAAGGAGATATTATGTAATAATATTTATGTAATGACACGAGTAACTATTTCATTATTAAAAAATGCAGAGCCCGAGGTTGTTGGCAGGTAGCAGAATTTCTCTGCATGCGTGTGGTTAACTCATTAAGGCTTATTTTGTTTTAGGAAAATGTTTAGGCTATGCCATATCATGAATGTGGCATCATAAAGTAAACAGTGAAGTAGTTTAGTTGTCCAGCTATTAGGAATACAGTAGGAAATCCTTGGCTTCCCTAACCATAAACTTTAATATTAGTTTGCATAATAGAAGTGTCTCTAATTTGCCTTCGTTAGAGAAGACAATTCATTAGTGCCTGCAAAGGTAGTGTGAGTTGTCTGACTTCTATTTATTTCCTTTTTAAACTTTATGTAATGGCTTTTTTTTTTTCTGTTATGTACCTTTAGTGATGTTTGCATTGCTGCACTATTGTTTGGGTTTTTTTCAAGAAGGAGCCAAATGTAATTCTGTCTCTTCAGAGGTGTTGAACCTAGGCAGACATTGTCAGAAGTACTCTGACAATGATTCTCAGGTTATTTCTTGAGAGCTGAAATACAAAATGAAATGAGGTATAATCATTTACACCTACATTGGCATTTTCTTTGAGAAAAAGATGTAGTAAAAGCAACTTCTAGTGTACTGTCGGAGACAGCGGGGTGTCTGTATTGTTTGGCTTGCAGAGGCAGTGCAATGCTTGTCTCCACTTGGCTTGGTCTGGGTAGGGATAACCCTTTCTCGTTGGGTTTAACGTGTGTATATTGACTGCAAGAAAGGTGCTCAGTTGCCTTGCTGCCTTCATGGCAGCAACCCATTATGCCTGTATAGGCTGCTCCACCTCTAGCATGATTAACCCTGCATGAATCTTAGTGTGTTTATAGCTGTGTGCCCAAGCTGTGCAGCTAATTGGGAGTCAGGTTCAGAACAGACTCCAAATTTCACCTGCTGAGTGAAGGGGGTTTGATTGGTATGTGGCAGTGGCTTGTGCAGATGTTCAGAAAGTCAAATGTCTGGCAGCACTGTATCCTTGTGTCTACTATCAGCTATGGACAGTGGTCCTGAAGGCACCCACCTATGCTTCCCGCCCCATCTTCTGGAGGTACTGCGCTCCGTGAGGTATATGAATGACAAGGGTTGGCTGGTGTTCTGACCTTTGAAGGCTTTTATGTAATCCAGAACCCAACGAATAATTTCTAAAGGTTTACTGGTACAGTCTGTCAAATTCAAGGGGTTTGTGGTTGGGGGAGATAAAAAACAGACTTTCAGTTTAAAATAATGGAAGGATCAACTCCTAGAATAGACTGTGTTGGCAATAATATTTAACAACTTCTTTATGTCTTTTGAGGAAGAAATCTTGTTATATTTGGCAAGACTGCGAATCATCTCTTGATGTCCTACATCCTTGCGTAATAAGAGATTGAAAGGCAAGGAATCAAAATTTTGTTTAAACCCAAAGATCCGCTTACTATATTATGTTATTCTGTGAAATAAAAACAGTAAAATTCTGACTACAATGCAGAAGGTGAAGTGAAGCATTACTGGAATTCAAGTTTGAGTGTAACTTAGCTAGTTGAGCTGTTTCATTCCATTTTAGCTGTTTGGTGCTTTAAGCAGACTGGCATGTCTGTTGACATAGTGACTTGGACAGAAGTATAATTTCAGAAATGCTGCAACACTGCCATGATGGTTATATAATGAAAGCAGGGTTGAATTCATGCTTTACTGTGCAAGATCATAGATATTATTTGATATGGTAGTATTTGTATCTCCAAAGGAACCTCATAATATTACTGCTTATATTTAAAAACAATAGGTTTTAATTCACTAGGTAATACTCAAGTATGAAACAGAGTTTCATTACCTTCTCAGGCAGTATTGTCTACTAGCTAGCAATTTTTGTAAATGCTTTTTGTAAAAATAGAAAAAACCCTTTGAAACACAGCAAGGCCTGTTTAGAGTGAAATCGTAACACAAATTTATTTTTTTGTTAACGTATTGTTGTTCGTGGAATTGGCAATTCTTGAATTGTCATTCTTGTTGCTAATCTGAGTCTTGTTGAGATTTTTGCAACCACATAAGTACCTTAAGTTATAGCTTCCAAACTGATATATTTAAGGTAAGACATACCTGTAATCATAAAAGTCTTGAATGTTAATAGTTTTGTTTGGGTGAGGTTATTCCATAGGTCTTCATCACAGAGTATGCTGAGTTGAAAGGGACCATTCAAGATCATTGAGTTCAACTTCTGGCCCTGCACGGGGCACCTCAAGAGTCACACCATGTGCCTCAGAATATTGTCCAAATGCTTCTTGAACTCTGTCAGGATTGGTGCTGTGACCTCTTCCCTACAGAACCTCTTCCAGTGCTAATCCACCCTCTGGGTGAAAAACCTGTTCCTGATATCTAACCTAAACCTCCCCCAACTCATCTTCATGCCAATTCCTCAAGTCCTGTTACTGGTCGTGAGAGTGAAGAGATTGGTACCTGCCCCACCCTTGGGAGGATGTTGTCAACTACAATGAGGTCTCCCCTCAGTTTCCTCTTCTCCAGATTGAACAGGCCAAGTGACCTCAGCCACTCCTTGTGGCCCTCCTTTGGACACTCTCCAGTAGCTTCATGTCTTTCTTATATTGCAGTGACCAAAACTGCACATGGTAGTCGAGGCTGCTCCAGTGCAGAGCAGAGCAGGACAATCACCTCCCTTGACCAGCTGGTACCCCCCAGGACATGGTTGGCTCCCCTGGCTGCCAGGGCACTGCTGACTCATTTTCAATTGGCTGTTGTCCAGCACCCCCAGATCCCTTTCCATAGCGCTGCTCTCCAGTGACAAGCTGCCCCATCCCAGGTGCAGAATCCAGTACTTGTTAAACTTCATACAGTTGGTGATTGACCAGTCCTCTAATTTGTTGAGATCTCT